TGGGCAGAAGAGCGCGCGACTGGCGACTCGTCGGGGAATTGGGAAAACGAGACGAGAAGACGGAGCGCCTCAGGACTGACGCAGGAAAATGGTGCGCCCGACCGTGCGCCATTCCCCGGGTCCGGTTTTTCATCCTGCATCGTTTTTGACGGTCCCAAGGCCCGGTGGGGGCCCCCAGAGTCAGAAAAAATTGACAAACCTCCCGTCGTGATGTTTCCATGACTCGAGGGGGTCTGGGTAGGTGGGGTGGTGTCGATTTCCCCTTGGTCGACATGTCCCTGGGTGCGCGGCTGTGCGTGGGCTTCCGCGATGCGGCTTGCCGCCGATGTTGCTGAACCCCCGCCCCGCGACCCACCCGCGACCCGCCCCGCGCCCTGCCCGCTCTCCCCCCGCGGCCCGCCCCGCGGCCCGCCCACACGGGTTTGGGGCAAAAGATCGGCGCCTGCGGCGGGCTGTGGAGTACTGTGTCGTTTCGTTTCGTCCTTCGGCCTGAAGTCGACCCAGACTAGCCGGACACTTCGCTGTGGGTGCTCACCATGCATGCGCCAAACGCTCAACCAGCCTACGCACAACTGTCGTGCATTCCGCTAATGCTGCTGCCTCTGCGGAGAAGGAACCTGTCCAGGTCTCGAAAACTGTGCCGCCCACGGTAAGCTTGCGCCTATCACCATTACCAAAAACTACTGCTGTGATCCCCAACGGCGCGGCCTGGGCCCCACTGGCCGATGTACCCCCTAGATGGGGGCATGGGCCATTTCCTCCAGGTTGCAAGGGGCAGATCCCCAGCTGGGGTGCTGAGATGGTGGGGATCTGGCTGGGGATCGGGATGGGGATACGTGTCGGTTGAACGATACTGAAGATCGGCACCTGCGGCGGGCTATTCAGATGTTTTTTAGGAGCACGGTGGTTCGACCCGCCGCTCGTACGAGCGGCCGATGACCTTGCCGCAACCTACCCGCGGTGTTTTGAACAAAAATCGGCGCCTGCGGCTGGCTATTCTGCGTTGGCTTTCAAGGGCACCATGGATCGACCCCGATCACACGACCCGCCGACGGCCCATCAGTGACTGAGGCAGTGCACGGCGACAACGACATCGTAGATATCGAACACCGACCACGACGACAGCGAAACCGAAACCCACCGAAATCGACAAGCCGAAACCAGCCTGAAGGGCGCAGCCACGCGGCAACGACACAGAAACCGACTCTATCGAACCGACCGAACGCCACCGACTGCGACGCAATCGAACTATGAAGGGGCCCTGGGACACACAAATCAATAGACACAAGTAACAGGATTCCCCGTATTTTCCCATATTTTCTGGGCTTTCGTCTTCCCCCCCCTTTCCCATATTTTCCCATATCTTCGTGGGGATCGACGAGGAATTGTGTCTGTGTTTCTGCTCCCTCCTGACACTGCTCGCACCGTGGAAACCCTCGAGGCCCGCGCGGACTTCGTCGGACCGGCGCCCCCGCGCGCCAGAGAGGGGCGGGGGCCCAGCCCCTCGCGGACCTCAGAGCCTGTGGGTACTGCGATCGTTCGTTCCCCGGGTCGGGCGAGAGGGGGGGATTTAGCAAAGAGGGGGGTTTGAGAAGCAGCCCACGTAGCAAAGGGGGGGGTTTGAGAATCTGGCCCGAGTTCCCCCTGCACTCTGTGCACTCTGACTGGTACGGAAACCCTTCTGAGCCTCTCAGATCGGGCAGATGTTGGCCGCAGCGTCCTGCTCTCAACCTCGCTGCATCCGTAGCCGCTCTGGCTCCAGTGGCGCGTGTTCCGACCGACGACCGACAACCGACGACCGAGACGACGACAAACGATGACGACCGAACGACCGACGACCCACGACCAGACCGTCCGACCGACCGGCCAACCGAGACGACGATCGCTGACGATCGACGGACCGACAGACGAGCGCGCGGACTGACCCGGTTCGGGAGCGAGGCGTGGATACAATGCTAGGACCCCCGCACGCGGCCCGTCCCCCCCCCATCCCCCCGACCTACTGTGCCGTGTTGGAAGATCGCCCGATGTTTGACACGCTGGCGCGGCGTGGATCGGAGGTGCCCGGTTAGGCGCGCGGAGCCTGGTACTATGACGTGCCGGGAGTGGAGCTGCGCCAGCGAGGGGCGGGCAACCTCGGGCTTGTACCCCCGATTGTATTTTTCCACACTCAGTGCCTGCACTGAAGGGGTCCTCGCGGAAATTGAAGGATTTGGCGAAAATGTCCCGCCGATTTTGGTCGCACGCTGGGTTCCCGGGTTCCCGGTTCTGGGTTCCTGGGTTCCCTGTTCCGGTTTCCGGGCCGATTTCGGAGGGCGGCGAGGTTCCCTGGTTCCCGGGTTCCTGGTCGATCTTCTTATCGATCGGTCTCACCATTGATCTCATTACCCATTTCTCTATCGATATCACCATCGATCTCACCATCGATCTCACTATCGATCTCACAAGCGATCTCACTAGAGATCGCATGAGCGATCTCGCGATCGATCTCCTCACTATCGGTCTCATTGAATCGATTTCACTCTCGGTCTCACGATCGACCTTACAATCGTCCTCACTATCGATTCCTCTATCGATCTCATTATCGATCTCACAATCGATCTCAAGATTCATAGCATGAATTCTCAAATCATCCACTGATTGGGCTTTCTCAAGTGTAATTACTCGGCTAGTGAATGGGACGCCGGCTGCAAAACGGCGAACCGCGTGGAGCTTCCTCGAGAAAAAGGCTCGACTCCAGGTTCCAACGTCGGTTCCAAACAATAGAAGTCGATTCAACACAATACAACATGAGCGTCTCGTGCGGGACTTCCTCGAGAAGTAGGTTCGAACTGAGTTCCAAAGTCGGTTCCCAACGATAGAAGGGCGTCTCATGCGGGATATCTTCGAAAAGAAAAATCAAATCAGGGTCAAAGCCTGTTCCAAACAATTGACAAGTGGGCGTCTCGTGCGGGACGTCCCCAGTGAGCAGGTTCGAACCAGGTTCCGCAAGTCGGCTCCAAGCAATTGAAAGTGGGCGCTTGTGCGGGACTTCCTCTGACAGCAAGTTCAAGCCAGGCTCGAGCTCGGTTCCGAGTGATAGAAGAGTGGGCGTCTCGTGCGAGCCTTACAACCGCCCACGCCGTGGGTTCTAGCGGCCTAGCTGACCCTCTTCAACATTCCCACTGGCAAGTGAGCCCACTGACTGCACATCATTGGCCCATCCGCTGTGTTTGGAAGGGATGAATGCCTGCGGCGGGCCTTTTGTCTAACAGAACATTGAGCTTAGGTCGGGCATGTCCCCCTACAGGAGGATCTCCGAGAAAACATCGAAAATGGCCCAAGACAGAGTCCAGGATAGTCTCAACATCGTATCTGGCGTATTGCCTACTATGTTTGAAGATTCCTCCTGCAGAAGGACGTGCCCGACTTAAAATTAAGCGCCCGCGACGAACTTCTTGGGGATCGCTGGGACCCCAGTGATCCCGAAGGCAACAGGGCCCACAGGGGCCCCCACAAGGGCCCGCGAGCGTCGTCCTCGTCGTCGTCGCCGTCGTCCTCGTCGTCTCCCCCTTCGAGGGTCGGCGGCGTTGGCCCCTGCGGGCTTGTGGTCCAACAGAACAGGCAGCGCCCGCGCCGCGCTTCTGCACGCGTGTGCCCTCCAGCCTCGCAGACCGCCGACGACCCCCGCCTCCGTCCCACTCTTGCCCGCAACTGAAAGGGCCATGGCCCTGATCAGGGCGCACTCCTCCTCCTCCTCCTCCTCCGCCTCCTACGCCTCCTCCTCCTCCGCCTCCTCCGCCCCCTCTGCCTCCTCCTCCTCCTCCTCCGCCTCCTCCGCCTCCTCCGCCTCCTCCTCCTACTCCTCCTCCGCCTCCTCCTTCTCCGCCTCCTCCGCCTCCTCCGCCTCCTCCTCCTCCTCCTCCGCCTCCTCCTCCTCCTTCTCCTCCCACTCCCCCCTCACACAAAAACCCCAGGCCTGTCCTGAAGCGCGCTCTGACCAGGATTCCGAGGCGCAACTAGCACCCAGCTTTAGGTCGGGCATGTCCCCCTACAGGCGGATTTTGGGCGAAAATTGACAAAAACAAGCAATATTCAAAAATAGTAAAAAAATCGTCCCCAGACTATATTTAGACATCTTTTTGAATGTTCCTCCTGCCGACGTCGAAGTTGTTTCAATCAGCGGCCCCCCAAAGAACTCGATCCTTTCTACACTGGCGTGTTCGTCCCAGCGCGGTCGTTGGACAACCCGGGGTCCCGACAACCGTCCCGAGACAGCGAAAAGACACCAAACAAAAACGGTTAGATTTTTCCGTGGCGCCGCAAATCTTGGCCATCCTCGTCGTCGCCGTCCTTCCTCTGCTGCTCATCCGCGGTCGACGTTGTCGTTTCTGTCGTCGAGGTCTGCTGTCGTCTGTGTCATGCTAGCAAGCAATACGGATGCCGCTTGTTACCCCCCTGGGCCTCTCCCGCGTTGCGCTCTTGCCAAAATTCCAAGGCGAGTCCAGCTGTGGCGACGAGGGCGTGGTGGCGGTATCGGTATCTCCTCCCCCTCGGCTTCTGGATCATAACTCGGGTCTCCGGCGGCCGTTCGGGCCGATCTGGGCGCCCCCCGAACGCTCCCAGCGAGACGCAGCCGCTGGCAACCACCCCAAGCTCGGACCCCCGAAAACCAACGGAATCGTCCGAAAACCTCTAGGGGAACAAAAAATGGCATAAACATAAAAACTCTGAGGTCCGCGCGGATTTCTCGGATCGGCGCTTGAGCCCCCTCCCTGGCGCGCGGAGCGCGCCAGGGGCGGCGCCGGAGGCGCCGCCGGCGGGCCCCAACGCCGATCCGAGAAATCCGCGCGGAGCTCCGAATTTTTATGTTTATGCCACCTTTTGCTCCCCGAACCTCGAGCCTCGAATCCCGACCTGGTGGGACCGGCACCTCGTTCTGCTCGTCGTCGTCCTGCTGGTCACCGTCCTCCCGTCGCTTCGACCAGGGGGGGGCGCCCGGCGGGCGGGGTGGGGCGCACGATCTCTCGTCCTCGCAGGAGCAGCAGGAGCCGTGGGCGCCCATCGGTGTGCGCCGCCCGCCTGGGCAGGGCAGCTCCGTGGGGGCCACTGCTCTGGAGGACTGCCACCGCGCCTCGAGGCGCGGTGAATCGGCGGTGGACAAACCTCCCTTTCAGTAAACCTCCCCTTAGTGAAAACGACCTGGGACCGAAACCGACGGACCTGGACCACCAAAACTGACGGCCGTGACGCCCTCTCGCGAACCGAAGACGGCCAATTCCTCAATCGACGTGTCAGGGTAGGAGGCCTACCCACCTCCGAGTGAAGTGTAGGTGGATTTTCGCGTTCTCGCCCTCCAGACACACCTGTGCTCCACCGCCTTGGAGATCGCCCCCTCCAGTTCGGATAACGGCCCGTGTGCTCGAAAGGGTTTCTGGGGATGCCGAAGACGCCGCGGCAGCGCGCGCAATGCACGGAAGGGGTGGCGGAAGAGAAAAGGATGTGTGTGAACACTGCGCTCGCGGGCTGTGCGTGATTGCGAAGGGGCCCAAGGGCACACACACAAACAAACAATCAATCAAACAAACAAACAAACAAACAAACAAACAAGCAAGCAAACAAGCAAGCACAAATCCCAGGACCCCCCCCCCCACACACACACACACACACATTTTCCAACATATTCTCGGGATGTTCTTCTTCCCCTCCATGGCCCATACCTTTTTCCCAATCTCATGGGAATCGACGCTTTCTGCTGTCAGTGTGCCCTGCTCCCCTCCGGAGTCTGCTCCGGCGCGGCGCCCCACGCCGCAGCACGCCGGCCCTCGGCTGGCACGAAGGACAACAAACGCGGATCCCGAGGGCAGCGGGTCTGGGCCCCTGGGCGCTCCGCCAGAGGCCCGCCTTCGGGCGGGGGCGGTCCGGGGGGGTGACCCGAACGGGGGCGAGGAAGGGCCTCTCCGTGGGGCCCCGAGCAGGGGAACGAACCATGACAGAAACATACAAAAGCTCGGAGGTCCGCGGGGATTTCTCGGATCGGCGCTGGACCACCTCCCAGGCGCGCGGAGCGCGCCGGGGGCGGCGCCGGAGGCGCCGCCAGGGGGGTCCGGCGCCGATCCGAGAAATCCGCGCGGACCTCCGAGTTTTTCTGCTTCTGTCATTGTTCGTTCGCCTACTGAAGGTCCCAACAGGCTCCATACGGGGGCGCACAAGGCCCTTGTGGGGCCAATTTCTTCACCCCGAGTTAACGTAAACAAATCCTTACCACCCGCCCAGGTCACCCCAGGCGTGCGAGAACGGTAACAAAAAACACTCCAGGACATGTTTCTCTCAGAACCCCTTTCCTTCATGGCGGCTGGGGCATCCACGTGTGCACGATATCCGACACATGGATACACACTTGCACTGGCGTTGGAACGTACGTCTGGAGACCATCCACCGCGTGCGCACGTACATACCCGCAACCACACGCACGACCATACGTACGCCTCGAACGTCGAGGCGCACCAAGAACGAGCGAACGACCCTCGATAGGGAAATCGAATTGCATCGAAACGTCGTCCAACGGGCTCGACCACGTCAAGAAATCCCGGGGGCAGGGCTGGCAAGACCGGGCACATTGGGCAACATGCAGGTGTCGTGCAAGACGACTGGCGTGCGCATGCGCGCGTCTAGGAGGCGGTGGGCCAGAGATAAGCAAAAAGCAACGTACGCAAGCGCCAAGCGCGCACGTCTTTCCTGGGGGGAGGAGGGCGAGCTGACAAAGAGCACGTTTCCCCTCCCCGCGCTGCGGGCAAGGAGTCAGAGCAGGCACCACGATGCCCCTGGTCTCGTTGAAGACATGGCGACGCCAATGCCACGGCCGAAGAGACTTGCGTCATGCATGCAGGCAGAAAACCATCTGATCATACAGGAGCTCGCGATATGCGAGTGGAGAACTCAGGCAAACGCTCAAGGTTCCGCTGGCGCGCCGATGGGTCGCGGCCGGCGGTCAGCAAGCACACTCAGACACGCCGGCGGGGCGCGCTCAGCATGAACTCCAGCAACCTGTGTGCGACCAATACAACACCTGTGAGCTCGAGGGCGTCGGGCTCTTTTGCCAGCAGTGTGCAGAGAGAGAGAGAGAGACAAACATCTGCACACACATATATTTATGTATATGTATATGTATGTATAAATATATGTGCACATAGGAGCTCAACTATAAAACACAGAGAGAAAGGGAGAGAGAGAGAGAGAGAGAGAGAGAGAGAAAAAAAAAAGAGAGACAAAGAGGACAAACAAAAAGACGGCGAGAGATTCCTTGGACTGATGCAAGGCCCAACCACATGCAGCTGCGAGAACCGCGAGGGAGATGGGACGAAGCCGGGGGGCGCGCAAGCTCGGCATAGCGCGCGCAGACCAAACTGCGCGTCTCGGAGATCGCCCTCTCTCAGAGGGCCGTCAGGCTTCTCCGAAGCCCTCCCGCCTTCCGAGCACTGTTCGGCGCATTCACGGGCCTCCCGGATGGGGTCCGAGAAAAAGGAGTCGGAGGATCGCGCCGCATGGCCGATGAATCGTCAGTGCCGCTCGATGCGGAGCCAGATTTTCTCCTTCCCGACGTCGCCGATGCACCGCCGACGTCGCCGATACACGCGAGGAAAAGGAGGAGGAGGAGGAGGAGGAGGAGGAGGAGGAGGCGCGAACACGCAGGATAGCAGAGGGCAAAAAGCGGTGGCACAAGCAGACCCTTGGATCGGATGGACCTGGCTTGCTGGCCCTCCTCCTCCTCCTCCTCCTCCTCCTCCTCCTCCTCCTCCCCCTGCAGGTCTACCTTGGAAGAGTAGGTCCGCGCGGAGTTCTTGGATCGGCGCTGGACCGGGCTCCCTGGCGCGCGCGGAGGCGCCGACCCAAGAGGCCCGCCGCGCCGACGCGAGAAGTCCGCGCGGTCCTACGAAAGATCATGCTCATGCGTCCCCAGTCGTTCCCCCAAGGAGGGCGGCCTGCGCCAGGCTGCGGCCCCTCCGAGGGCGGCGCCGGGGGGCGGCAAACGCGCTGCCCGAGCCCCCTCTCGAGGCGCGCGCGCGACGACGGAGCTCGAGGCACAAGTCGGCGACGAGCGAGGGGGGGGGGGAGCGAGAAGGGGCGGGCCTTCTCAGAAGGCTCGGAACTCTCCCGCCCTTCTGAGAAGTTGTCTGAGCCCTCCGCGAAGACAAGCGACAATCTCTCAGAAGGCGCGGGCCGATCATGAGAAGTCCCACCGCCTTCCGAGAATGCCTTCTCCTCCTCACTTCCCTCCCTCGCTCGCCGCCGAAAGAGAGGGGGGAAGGCGCGGACGGGAGGAGGCAGAATGCGGCGCCGCTCCCGCTGGGCATCGCGGGGCCTCTCCCCAGCTCGCGGGGTGGGCTGGCGGACCCGTGAGGCACACCGCGGCCCAGCGGGGGTGCGGATCGACGGAGCGGCGCTGGCAGGAGAGGCACAGTGCAGGAGGAGGGCGAGCTGCCACGAGAGGAGGGGGCCCCAGGGAAGCGGGCCCTGGGCCCTGGGGTTTCATCCTTGCATGCCGAGCAGAAAAAGAAGAAGCAATCTTTCTGCACGCTGTACACGAAACGTTGCTTTCCAAGCCCAGCAAAAAACACAATACACAAACCACATCTTACAACACAGAAAGCAAAACAATCACGTCGTCATGTTGAACAGTGTTTTCTGCCAGCGCTGGTGCCCTCTCTCCTCCCATTCTCTGCATTCTTGCTCTTCGCCACGCAGACCAATCGGACTGCGGGGTGCAAGCAGCACCTCGCCAACTGCCGCCCACGTGGGGCTTTCCTCTCCTCCCGAGGCCCCCGGAGTCCCGAAAACGCACAAGATCGTCAACAAAAACACTCCCCTCCCACGCCTGGGATTCATCGAAATCCACCGATGTGGAGGCATTGCCCCCAGGGACCTCGCGGCGCGCGCTGGATGTGGACGTCGGCGCCTCCGGCGAATCACGGGTGCCCCGCTGCCGTCTAGAAACGCCTGCTGCGTGGCGGGATGTCGGGAGTCGATCACAAGAAACTTCCCACAAGACACCCAACCCTGAGACTGCAGGACGTCCATTGAGTTGGGGTGCGGGGGCGTCGTGTCTTCTCCCTCGCAAAACCACCAGCACCCAAGACACCCTGGGCGTTCCTTGGCGTGGGTTTCCGCCGTGTATCTTTCTCTGGATTTTGGGGAACTTCTGGGGGGCCTCCTTGGGCCTCTCAGGCGGGTCCTCTTGTTGGCACTTCTTGGGGCGTATTTTATTCTTTTCTTTTTTTTCAAACAAAAAAAAACCTTCCCACGTCTTGGGGCGTCGTGTGGTGCTCGCGGGCCGCCTGGCGCCCTCGCAGGGAGGTCCCGGGGAGGCTCTCGGGGGTCGTCTCGGGGTCTCGTGGGCCGTCCTGCGAGCTCCCCTCGGGGCGTCCTGAGAGCCTCTTCCTCTTGGGCGACGTTGGGCCCCTCTTGGAGGCCGCTTTCAAAGCTTGGGGGCCACCTTGGAAGTGCACTTTTTTGTTGGGGTTGCAGAACGAGGGGGGCAACGACCTTCCATCACGTCGCCGCCTCAGGGCACCAACCAGCAGCGATGACCGCAATCTGACGACCTTCGGCTGCAATGTCGCAGACAAGCTTTTGGATGAGATGTCCGACGCTGCGGATTCCCAGTCTGGAATGTTTCTCGAGCGACAGAACCACATGTTGGATTCTGCCAGCGAGGTTCAGGATGCGGCGCGGACCTCGCTTAGGGAAACGGTCCACGCCAGAGGTGATTTCCGACAAAGCGGAGGAAGTTGTTAGGAAGCAGGTGTGCCTGGCCAAGCAAGCATGCACTGCAGCTTCCCACATAGCACGGTTCAATGTTTGTGAAGCTGTACAAGCAGATGTGCAGTACCAATTGCACCAATCGTTGAAACAAACTGCGCGCCCCTCGCAACACGTTGCGGACCTGTCGCGTCAGGATCCCCTCTTGCAGAAGCCAGGCCGCTCACACCTCCGCTTCATCGGCATTGCTGGTGACCGCATTACCCGCCTGTGGACTGCCGACCACCCGCGCGGTCTGTGCGCAGGGCGCCAACAGGGGCGGATGCACGGTGGGTGGCTACGACGCATCGTTGGGCACGGTCAAGGTCATGACGGAGCCCGCCGCGAAGCCAGCCGGGACAGTCACTTCAATCGAGTGGCCTTGAGGCGCAAGTACCCTCAACACGAAGCCTTCACCAGCACCCTCCGGGACCATCACCTGCATCGGCTGTGAGCATGGAGGGGCGCCAACCACGGCATCCTGCAGCAAGGCTCCAGGAGCGATGGTTGCCTTCATGTTGTCGTAGAGGCCAGCAAATCTCTCCTGCTTTGCGTCGCCGAGCTGCGTCTCCACAGCGAAGCAAAAGAAGATGGTGTCCATGGCGTTCACGACGATCTGGGACACTGTGTCCATGGTGAAGTGCACGACAGCGCCGAGGAAGAGCGCGGCAGAGATAGCGTTGAGCACGGCTCGGGTCTCGAAAGAATCCGGATCGCTACTGCTGCCCGCAGGTCGAACGAGAACCTCGAGAAAGATCACCGCGGCCAGGCAGTAGAAGGGCATGTCGATAATCCAAGCGAAGACGAGCATGACGAATATCATCGCTCCGAGTGAAATCTGCGTGATGCTCTCCACACCTTGCACGGGGTCCGCCCAGGCCCAGGTGGCACAGGCTACGCAGAGGAAGACAACGTACGTAGCCCATGACATAACGCGCGTGCCGATGTAGTCGGTGAGCACGGCCGTCCCCAGTTGCCTCTCCAGAAGCTTCATGCCGGCGAACGCGGAATCACAGAGAAAGGTCTCCCAGAGCACGCCTGCGATATGAGCCCAAACCTCGTGAAGGCGCGAAGGACCTGCTGGGGAGCACAGGCGATGCACACGAGGATCCAGTCGACGGGGTTCAGGCAGCCGAGAGCCAGGCTCCAGGGGCGTTTGATCCTGCAGAGGAGGTAGGACGCACACCCCATGGTGGAGGATGGCGCTGCCTCCTGCAAGGTCCACGAAGCCCCAGCGCAGAGCCTGGATCCAGAAGCTCTGGTAGCCCTCGCTGTTGAAGTACCAGCTGGACACGGTGCTGCTGACGACGATGAGGTTCACGTTGCGAAAGAAGTAGGTGGTCCAGTAGAGGTTCACAAAGAAGAAGAGCTTCTTCCAACCGCTTGCAAGCCAAAGAACCTCCTGCAGCTCGCATCCGGGGAAGTAGGATGTATACTGCATGGGCGGAAGCTGGGCGACCTCTTTGACAAAGCTCATGCCGATGAAAGCCGCAACCCACATGGCGAAGAAGGCCGCCCAGATGCATGCGACGCTTGCGCATGCCAAGAAGACTCTCCTGTTGGAGACCAGCCCGTCCATAGCGGCCTTCATAACCACTGAACATTGGTCGATCTTGGTCCTGTGAAAAACTGCGGCCATCGCGGTGAGGCCGGCAACGATGGCCAACGCCGGGTTCCACATGTCCGCTTCGAGCGTGAACCAGACGAAGCCAGCCATGAGCAAGACGGCGTCGGCGCCGATTGTTCCCCATACCATGCTCCTGGGGAACTTCTGCAGCGCAAGGGGCCAGAGGCTCGCGGCGAGGACGCCCCCCAAGAGGAGCGCGGGGACGTAGAAGTGCGTCTCCAAGAAGTCCCAGAGGCTCTTCGGCACCTCGTCGCCCCCCGCCAGAAGGCGGCGCGCGTGCTCGGCGTAGGGGCCCTCCGTCGCGGCCACGGCCTCCCAAAACTCCACCCTGTTGGTGCGCGCCTCGCCCGTGCCCGCTGCCTCCACGAGCCTGCGCTCCCCGACGCAGACGGCGACCCGATCACAGAAGCCCCTGCTGATGCACTCGGCATGGGCCGAAAACAACGGAAACGAACCGCAATTTGACGCCCAAACCATCCCGTCAGGGCGCCTGACGTAGCCGGCCGAATCGAACTCAGCGATCTCGGCGTTCTTCGCAGCAAAGGTCACAAAAAACAGGATCACCTGTGCAAGCGCCGACAGGTAGAAGAGGGCGCCGCAGACAGAGTCTGCGCTCAACGCGGGCCTGCGCTTTGCGTCGATGCCGCGGACGATGGTTTCTTCCTGGGATGCCTCCTGCGCGCTTGGCACTCGGGGTCGGCCGAACCTGAACTTATGCGAGACTCCGAAAATCAGGGTTCTACTTGAGCCAGTGCGCTTGAGAGAAAAAACGGCTGGAGCCACCTTGGAAGTACACTGGGCCGTCCTGAGCTGTCACAAATACGAGCAACACAAGACGCCCGGATCATTCAACAACATAGGGAGTTCTGTGCTTGGCCTCTGCGAGCCCTGGAGGTCCTCTTGGAAGCCCTTGGGGGGCGTCTCGAAAGCCTATTAGGCCCACTTGAAATCCTCTGGGAACCCTCTCTGGCCATCTTCAGGGCCATCTCGGGCTCGATTGAGGGCCATCCCCGCAGTCGTGGATGCGATTGTGTTGACTTTCAGTCAACAAAATTCTTGTTGGGGCTATGGTTTTAGTGGCCTATTTGGCAGCGGCGGCCCGGGGCGAGTACTACTTTTCACTTTTTGACGGGCCAAATGGCATCGTAAAACCCGGCGCCCAAATCGCCCCTTCGGCGGGCAGCGGCTACGGGGGCGGTGGATCGAAGACGCCTGCGGCAAATCTAAACCGCCCCCAACATGTTGGGAACCCCCATGCAGCCTAACGTTGGGCCGAGGTCTGGCCAAGCCATTGGACGATGTGCTCCCCCCAACAAGTGGGGAACCACTTGGGGGGACACTTGAGAGGAAGAGAAAGGAGGAAGAGAGGGGGGGCGAGGAGAACGACGAGAGGAGAAAGAAAAAGAAGCCTCTTGAGGACCTCTCGGGGCCTCCCGGTAGCTTCCTGGAAGCCCTTTGAAGCTTCAGGGGGCCTCTTGGGTGCCTCCTGGGGCCTCTTGCAGCCGCCTGGGCCTCCTGGGGGCCGCTGGGGACCTCGAAGGGGCCTCTTGGCCTTCGGAGGCCGACTTGGGGCCCCCTCTGGGCAGTCGTGGGTCCCTCCTTGTGCGCTGTAGGGCCGTCCTGAAGTCTATGCGACTGCCTTTGGACCTTCTTGGGGCGCTCTCGGGCCGCCTCGCGGGCCTGACCGGGGCCTCTTAGGACGATTTTGGCGGCCCATGGGAGAGAACGCTCTCTAAATGAATGAAGCCGCGTGTCCGTAGGCACATGAGCAGAGGCACGATCGCGCGCTAGACAATATACTTGCGCACTGCTGCTTTCCAGGCTTCCGCTGAAAAGGTGCCCAAATTACTTGCGCTGCAACTGGCATCACGACAAATACGCTGCGCATGCATATACAATTCTGACGCCCACGCCTGCCGGGGTCTGCCCCTCTTCCGGCGGCCGGGCTGCTGCGTCAAGTTGGAGGAGGAAGGTTGGACAACGACTTGCCTGACAGGGTGGTCGTTGCATTTGCGCGCAATATCACCGAACGAAATCAATTGCCGCCGCAACAGAAGGCCGCTGAGCTTGGCGCGCCGGGCTCGCTGCAGGACCTCGGCGTTGGAGACGCGACTGACATATGAATGCGCTATGCCTAAAACTTTACGCAGGCACCGCGCCTGAAACGCATTCAATCTCGATAACTCGTGCTGACGTAACCAAGACGTGTGGAGACTATATAGGAGCGTCGGTTCAACACATGCTGCGTATATAGTAAGCTTCCGCTTGGTCGACAGAGAAGAGTGAGACCAGACGCGCTGCAAAGAGTCAAAAACGGATCGGGCGAGGCCAACCCGCCGGCTCAGCTCTGCTCCGACGGAGCCGTCGGACGTCAGGACGCTCCCCAAGTACACCATGCTCTTCTTTTTTCTGGGATTGGGCAGCCGTCCGGCATGAGCATGGCAGCGGCGTTGCACCCTGTGGCCATGACCTCCAGCTTCTTCCAGTTGTACTTCAGACCGTAGTTGGCGCCCGCGTCCGAGATGGCCTTCATGTGCAACTCCGCCTCCGCAGCGCCCGGGGCGACGATCAGCGTGTCGTCCGCGTGCGCCAGGTCGCTGACGTCGCCAGCGGCGTCGCCGAGCGAAGCCTTCGCATCCTGGAGGAGGACAGTAATCAGAATGGCAAACAAGAGCGGCGATAGGGGGCAACCCTGGCAGATGCCAGCCTGCGGCTCCCGCTGCCCCGAGGTTTTGCCAGCCTCGCGAACTGCGAGATGCCTGTCGGTGTATATCGCCTTGACAATCTGCAGCATCTTGTCCAGCAGCCCGAAGCGTCGCAGGGCTGCGACGAGAGCATCGGGCATGACGCTGTCGAACGCCTTAGCCCAGTCAAGCGCAAGAAGCACCAGCGGCTTGTCCTGCCGCGCAAACGCCTCCTCCAATTTGCGCCTCGCAATGAAGATGGCGTCTGTGGTGCCATGACTTGACTTAAACCCGAACTGCGTCCGCCAAATTCTGTCTTCGGCCCCTGCTCGCTTCAGGCGGCGCAGGAGAAGTGTCGCGAAGAGCTTATATCCGGCCTGCAGCAGGCAGATGGGCCTGTAGTTCTCGCGCGCAGACGGGTCGCCCTTCTTGAGAATGGCGATCACCAAGGACTCGTGCCAGCTGAGCGGGATCTCGCCGTCTTCTCAGCATCTCTGACACAACGCAACGGCCCAAGCTCGCGCCGGTGAGTCTCGGCAACAAATGGCTTTCCAGAAGTCTCCGGGGATAGCGTCTGAGCCGCAGGCCTTCTCCCAATTCATCGCCTTTGCCGCTTCGACGACTTCCCATTCCTGCACAAGCCCAACTTCCACCAGAAGCGCGGGGCCAAGCATAGCCGCCTGCATGGGAGTAGTGTTTCGCGCGGCCCACTGCACGCTGCTGAGTTAGTCGGCCATTGTCTCCTGGCGGGCATCGGAGTCAACTAGCCCACCCTGCGAGTCTGTCAGCCGGCCAACCTTTGGTGCAAACCCTTTTCTCAATTTACGAACTTGACCCCAATCGCCGGTGGCGAGCAGGTGCTCTAGCCACTCTGCTCGGTCCCTTTTGACAGACAGCTTCACCTGCATATTCAGACTGCTCTCGGCAGCCACGTCCCCGCGGCGCCTGGCGTCCGCGCGCTTCATGATAATGTCCATGCTGCGGTCAGAAGCCCATGGCCTCCGCGGCGCCGCCGGCAGGGTAGGGACCGAGGCTGCGGCCACGGAGAAAGAATCTTTCATGATGGCTTCGATGTCTGATTTAGTCGACACCGGCATGCTGCTCTCCAGCTCCTCTGCGCGGTCGGCGAAGGCGGCGGCGAACCGCTTTGATGCCCCAGGGAGGCGGAGGGTAAAATCAGGACGCGGACGCTAAAATCATTGAGCGACCAATGGACCATCAATGATTTTGGCCTCCTCGGAGTCCTCTTGGAGACCTTTTGAAACGTCTTGGTGGCGTCTTGGGCAGTCTGGGGGGCATCTTGGGCTGTCGTTGCCCCATTGGATGCGTCTTGGGGCCGTTTTAGGTTCTCTTGGGGCCATCTCGGAGGCCTTCTTGGCCGTCGGGAGAACCGATGGACTGTATACCTTCCCTGCTTTTTCGGGTGGCCGGCGGGATCAGCCGAGACCCCGCTGGGAGCCCCTACAAAGGCGTGTTAAAGCACCAAAGAATGAGGTACGCCAGGCACCCCCTTGATACATCAACAGCGGCTTGTGGATGTAGTGCCCTTCGGTCACTCCCAACACAATGCATGCATCGTGGACAAGGGGCCCCATTGAATGCCTCTTGGGGGCCTCTTGGGAGCGTCTCCTGAGCCTCCTGGACGCCTCTTGCAGGCTTCTGAGGGCGTCTTGGGCGATTGCTGGCTGTCTCGGGGACAAGCTTGAGGCGAGGTGCTCCGAGTGGCGGTTCGAGTTCCCCCTCGGGCGCTCCTCTTCGGGACACCTTGGCCTGTTCTCGGCGTCAGTTGGGCACACCTAAAGCTCTCTTGGGGTCCTCGTGAGGGTTACGCACTGGGGGCGGGCTAGGTTCGAAGCGGACGACAGGGGGCAACCGCAAAGGAGGGTTAGCGAGGGGGGGGGCTGTCTTTTGTGGCGCATCCCAGCGCCAGAGATGGCCATGCATCGAGGAAAGCACCTGGCGGCGGAGCCAGAACTAGCTGATCCAGCCGAACATTCAAGCAGGTGGGGCCGGATAATGTTGAAGCATATTGGAGCAGCATACCCGAGTTGGAAAGAACAGAGCAAAGACAATCGCAGTGTCGATGCTTAAATCAACCCCGCAGGAGTTGTAACTTACAGGGGGGCGCCCTAATTAGTCCTCCTCGACCCTTCTCTTCCGCGTCGCCAGAGCCAGCGGCGTCGAAATTAGCGACGTCGACCACGACAACGTCGACAGCATTGCTGGCGGTCGCAGCAGCAGCTACTAAGTGTTGCCGAGCCTGAGCGCAAACGTCGCAAAGGACTTGTGGTGCGAATGTGATTAAGGGCAGGGGGCATCGAGTGGTTCCAGGCAGAAATCTGGCTAATGAGGGTCGAGGCCCTCAGAGTTTCTTTGTGCACCTCAATTGAGCCACCGGGAGCCTCGCGACGCCAGCCCGAGGTACGAGTATCAAGGTGCTCATATCCTCGCGGACCCCTCTTGGCGTGAGCCGCAAGGGCACTGAAAGAAGCGGGCCCTGGACCCCCGGGTCTCATCCCCGGATCAGCCTTCAGCCCCGAGTCGCTCTCTGACGATGCTGGGGCACGTAGTGACGTACAGTCGGACTTCAGTGGACAGGACACGCTAGAGGACAAAAGACCCTTCCGAGGGCCACATTGCCATAGGAATGCAGGAGGCACGGTCGCGAGACACAGGACACAAAAGGTACCCTTGATTTGGCAGGGTCGACCTACTACCCCGGGCCGAGTGAAGTCAAAGGGCCAAGGGCCGCCCAGACTCGTCGGAACACCGCAGGGCCCGTTCCCCTCCACGGAGAGGTGCACACCAGGGCCCCAGGCACGTGCACGGACGAGGGGCAGCCCCGGGGTGTCTTGAAGGAAGAAGGCGAGGGGCCTTGACTCGTCTGCCGGCGCGCACGAGGGGGCCCACGCGAAGGGGGGAGGGCTGCTGAGAAGGCGGAGGGCTTCTTCGAAGACGGGGGCCTTCTACCGAGGCTTCCTGGATGGGGTCCGAGAACATGGGGTCGGAGGATCGTCCTGCATCGCCGATGCATCGCCGAGACTTGACGGTCCTGCGGCCTGGTCAGGGCTCCCAAACGCCGAAACCTGTGCATGACTCGAGGGATCTAAAAAATGCTCCCCGGAGGCGGCGGAGGAGGAGGAGGAGGAGGAGGAGGA